CCTCCTTTTAAAAGTTATGCCCCTTAAAAACACTAAAAATGACGTTTTTTAGTTATTGACTGCAGTTAAACTGTAAGCTTTTTTTAAATTTTGTAAATGCAGAAATATAATGGCTGGCTTCTTCTACCAGAGTATACTATATTTAAGCTATATAAGAACGAAATGGCCGCTAAAATATACCGCTATCTAAAGTTAGTTTTTCCCGAATTTTTGATGTCGTTTTTCTTCTAGACCCCAGCCTGTAGAAGCTTGAAATTTTAGTAGCTTTTAGGCATTAACAAATAGTTCATTTCGTTAGAAGAAATTTTTTTTTTCATCTCCACCCCCTCTCAAGTTATCACCTCTCGAAATTTCTAGAATTTGAATTTTTGACGCCTTATATTTCTGAGACGGCAAGCTTTTTCAAATTTTTATAAAACCAAAAAGCTTACGGTAAATTCCATGACATTGAAAATTATATTTATTTTTCTTAACTCATGCAATTAACTCTTAAAATTGAGCATTATGTTAACCCCTCTTTAAATTAATATTTGCTTTATTGCAAAGACTGCATAAATCGTTCATCCCGAATGCATGCAACCCTTAATGAAATAATTTCGTATATGAATGAAAATAATTTTAATGGTGTGGTTGAAGATACACAGATTGTTTTTAAAAGGATTATTTTTAATTGTTGAAGAAAAAAGTGATGCAATACAAACCATTGCTTTGACCAAACTTTATTTTTTGATATGACCTGATTAAATGTTGTTAGTTTTTTTTCTATTGGAATTTTTGAATCTTAGTTTCTGGTAATTCATCATACGATGGTACAGTTAGGAATTTTGAAATTTTTTTATTTGTATGTATGAATTGTGTTTTTTTTTCTTGATATTGAATTGAAAGAAAAAGAAGTGTCGATCATTAAGTACGGAAATAAGTTACGATTCAGACGTGTTAGGAAAAGAAAGAAAGAGAAAGGAAGAAAAAAAATAATAGAAAAAGTACAAAAGTAAAATAAATTGATTTTTTTTAATAATTTTTTAATAAGTTGTATTTATGAAATAAAATTTCATAAATACAACTTTAAAATAATTACAATACGAAAAAGAGTATAATAAAAAGGCAAATATAAGAGTAAATGTAAATGTTACTTAATTTAAAGTTGTTTAACATTCTAATAATAATTATAATATAACTTTCAAACAAATAATTTGTAATATCTATAACTAACCTATTTAAAATATTCATAAATGAAAAATCACTTAAGATTTTTTTTTTAATTGATAAACTGCGCTTGTAACTACGTACTGTTGTAGGTCGTCATTTTAATTGAAAATTAAAAGCGGCGAAAAAATCGTTAGAATGAAAAAGAAGAAAAAGGAAAAATAATCTTAGATTTAATCGTTAGCTGAATTTTAATTTTTTTCACATTTTACTCTTGATATAAACCAGCCTTATATTAGCAGCAATAAATTCAATTAACTACAAGTTAAAGATTTTCACGATTCTCGATAACATTGAATTAAAATACATAAATTAATAATTTAAGAAAATGCATTATATAAATAAAATGAATATCTATCTTATTTAAAATTAAAAACAAAAAAAAGGAGAAAAAAATAGAGTTGACCTTGTCAACTCTGTGATACCCGTACAAATTTGTTATCCTATGTGCTAATAAGGATGCCGTAACTGACTAGGGGACAGACTATGACTTTAAGTTGCCGTATTACCATATTAATGTATGCAAAATTTCAGTACTATGTGTTCTTCAAAATACTGTGTGTGCCAAACTACTATTGAAGTTGTATGGCAGCTACCAGAAAGAGCCAAGAAATTATATCGAATATTATTAAGCACATCGGCCCTACTAATATATTTGCTTGTGTGAAATTTCAATACCATAGCTTTTATAGTTTCTGAGATATAGCCAAATAACTTTTGAAGTTGTATGACAGCTACCCGAACCGATACCCTGATCATGTCCACTTTAAATAGGATTCTGGCACTTAGCACAATAAATCATTTGTGAAAATTTGGTGAACTTAGCTCAATTAGTTTTTGAGTTTTCGTTGGGACGGACGGATGGACGGACGGACGGACGGACAGACAGACAAAGCTAAATCAACTCAGAATCTGTTCAAAACTGACTGAAATGACGCTGATCAAAAACATACACTTGAGTCTATATCTAAGACCGTTATTTCTTAGCGTTACAAACGGTAAGGCAAATTTAGTATACCCTTCGAACATACGTTCGTACGGGTATAAAAACCTAGAACAGCATTTTAATATAGAATTTCAATATAGAAATTCAAAATTTCGAATTGCTGTGCAGAAATTTTTTTTTTTAAAGCATATGAAAAAAAAAATAAAAAAAAAATAAAAAAAAAGGAAGAAAAAAAAGAATATATATACATATAACATTAATATGAAATCATCAAAAGTTTATATGTACATAAATTTAATAAACTAAAGTAAAATTTCATTATACATATTTGAATTTCAATAAGAAAACTAGTAAAAATATTTTGTATATGAAAAGTCGAAAGAAATACCCTGCACCTTTCGTTATTGTATAGCAATTACTCAAACCTGTGAAATCATTCTATAGAAACTTAACGGATATTTCTGACCTATAATTGGGCATCCGACTACCAAGTTTCATGAATCCGACTTTATTATTTTTCCAAATATTTAAAATTAGCTTCTGGAGTTGTATGGCAGGTACCCGAACCTGTCAAGCAATTCCTCTAAAACTTCAGAAATATATTTGGCCTATAATTGGACACATGACTGCCAAGTTTCATGAATCTGACTTTATTATTTTTCCAAATATAAAAAATTTTCTGTTGGAGTTGTATGGCAGCCACCCGAACTGGTGCGGCTATCCCATTATAATTTTTAGAGCATATGTAGAATATAATTGGACACATGTATACAAAATTTTATATTTATAGCTTTATTAGTTTTTGAAATATTTAAAATAAACTCTTTGAGTTGTATGGCAGCTACCCGAACCCGTTGTCTCAATTAGTCCAATAACAATAAGGTTCGTCCTTGGCACAAAAAAAAAAACTTGTGAAAGTTTGGTGTCGATTGCATTATTCGTTTTTGAGTTATCGTGCGATCGGGTGGACGGACGGATGGACATGTCTAAATCGACTCAGAATTTTACGCTGAGCAAGAATATATATATATGTCCATACCGCAGATGACTCCTTCAAGTAGTTACAAACTCCATACCAAAGTTAATATACCCTTCACGAAGTGCAGGGTATAAAAAAGAGCGCAAAGACGAATCACAAGGAAGGAACACGCACGTGGAGACCGGAACAGCCTACAATGTAAGTACTGGGCCCAGTTTTTTTTTTTATTTTTTTTATTGTATTAAACTTTCTGGTACCAAGAAATATAACTGTAGTAAAGAAAAATAAAATCTAGAAGAAAAGAAAGAAATATGGAAAAAAAGCAAACGATATTGTAATGACTCAACAATAATTTTAAGTTTTTTTTGATTTGGTAAAGTACCCGATTAATAAAATTTTTTCTCTTTTAACTTTGGAATATTTTGTTTTTTCCAATTTTAAAAATTTCGAATTTGATAATTCTTGGAAAAAAATGTTTATAATAGCTAAAATGCTTATATGAGAATCTTATAATAGGACATAAGGAATTTTTTTTAAAGGCGTAATATAATTTTTTCTTCTGAAATTTAGAAAAGAAATATCATGATCTTCCTTTTAAGGTGAAGGGTTGCCTCTTATTTCGTTTCCAATTTACAAATTATTATATTGTCATAAAGCTGAGCAACATACCCTAAAATTTGTTTTTGATTTAAAGTTTTTTTTTCTTATAACTTTCTTTCTTTTGAATATTTTGTAAAATAATAAGGTATTCTAAGGCTGACAAGAGAGTCTTTCATTTTATTTGGGGTTTATTTTTTTACACACATAACAATAAAAAGAAAAATAAAATAAAATTTATATATCCTATTGCATTAAAATTTATATATCCTAATAGAAGAACAAAAAAACAAATCAAGGAAAACCAAAATGAAATTGAAACAAGCAAAGTTATATTTTTACTATAATTTTTTTTTATAATTAGTTGAAAGTACTGTGTTGATAGAAGCAAAATAAAACAAAAAAAGAGCTAAGGAAGTTTTTTTTAGATTTTTTTTGTTATCTTATATTTTTTATACTTTTTTTTCTTTCTTTTCACACTTGTGCTTCCATAAAATGGTAATGGTGTTGTAATTCTATTCCGTTTTGGGGTGTCTAAATTTTAGGGGTTTTTTGAGCAAAGATTGGGAATCTCAACACGATCGGAGACTCATGGAAGAGTAGAGCTCGGGACATTGGTGATCCGTGTCAGCACAGTGATGTATCGTGTGGCGCGTCCTCTTTCAATGCTTCACGTTCTGGTTCACTACAAGGAGGTCTAGCTAAATCTAACTATATATGTTTTGCAGTCGCACTAATTTTTTTTTGTTATTTATTTCAACGTGTGCATAATTTTTTTTTTTTTCTGCTTATTATATGTAGCCATTGGTGGTAACCTGCTGCTTTGATTTAACCCACCCCAGGTTAGTGGCCGGTGCCCCAACCAGTGGCGGCCGTCCTAATCATCATCAAGCAACTAGTTCATAACAATTTAGCCAATATACCTGGCGGGCGGTTGTGTGCTCACCACTTCAAATTTTTTGAATATCAAATACAATTTAAAGTTTTCCATTGTCAAATGCAATAAAAAGTTTTGAATTTATCACTAAATTCTTTGATGAAATCTTTTATTTTGTTATATAAGGGTTTTTTTTAAAAATAACAAAAAAAGTTAAAATTATGCATTTTAAACTTTTTTTGATATTTTTCGTTGTTTCAACCATATTGCAAAAACTTGAATTCACAAAACAAAATTTTTAATTCTCGTAATTTTTAATTAATTTTTAAAAAATAAAATATTTATGTTAAGAGTCAACCTTTATTTTTTGGAAGCAAAGACCTTATATTTGTCATAAATATGAAATTGCATGAACTTTTTGCAGTAAGAAACAGAAGTTTTAAGCAAAAATAAAAATCGAATATGAAAATGGTGAATTATTATTTGTTACTTGCACTTTCATATATCTTTTTAAATATTTTTATTATATTAAACACTTTATTTTACCATCGGCACAATTTTTATTACGAAAAAGTGTTTCAGAATATTCTTTTGCATATAAATTGAGTACAACACAGTTTCTCTCTCCAATTTTCGTTGTTGATTAAACTTCTCCTATGGTATAATTATCTCCGCATTTGCAAATTCTCATATTTTTTTTGCTTACCTAAAAAATAATTAATACAAATATCTCTTGTATTAAATCTAAATATTATAATAGAATGTATCAGCTAAATATATTCTAATACAATGAAAATCTTATGCATTTTTTTACGAGGTATGTATGATTTTATTTAACAAATTTAAAAAATAAATGAAATAGAAATATTTATTAATTTTTAATAAGAAACTCACAAGATTAGTTTTAAAATAACTCGCATATAATTTTGGTGCACTGGTGATAAAAGTGGACAATATATTTTTCTTTAAAATTAAATGTTTACAAGTATTGCAGGGGGATTCTTTGATAAATTCTTGGAGTTGGTAAATTATTTTTCTTTGCAGATTGAAATATTACACATTTTATAAATAATCTCAGAAAATTATGATTTGTACAGACGCTCGACATAATTCAATTTTCAATTTTTCAAATAAACAGGTGAAAAAAGTTTAATTCTTGAATATTGGAATGCCCTGCTTCCGAAAACTTTTGGGTTATTTCTAATATATGTATTTTAATTTTACTTTAAAAATACTTTAATTGCTGTCACATTGTTTTTGTACCGACTTTGTAGAGCACGGGAATCACTCTATAATGTTAATCTGTTTAAAATAGGATATGATTTTATTCTTTAAAGATTTTAGTCAAATGCGAACCAAAGCACTGATTATGTCGTTTCCAGTTCTACCACTATAAACCTCCGCCCAAATACCACAATAGGTAATCTTGTTCTTATTCGCCAATATTATAGATATAATATAATATAACAGATTATAATTATAATAGAAGATAGAAACATTACCTGTTTGAAAAAAAAATAAATTAATTAAATTTTTTTTATGTGAATTCAATAAAGAACAAAAAAAATCGCATAAAATGATTTAACAAATAAGTTAATAATGAGAAACTATTATAACCTTTTTGTAAACCAAAATCTTTTTGCAAATCGTAACAAATAAATTCATATCTGAGATCTATATTAGTTCGACCTATTGATCGATCTATTAATCAAACACATTCACTTTTATATAATAGTCTTTTTTTTTGTGAAATTCATACTTGCTTTTTTCTGCTTCAACTAAATTCCCATTTTTTCCGTATAAATAACGCTTGTCCCTTTGCATTCGCTTTTGCATTTATGATGCATTCACTATTATATACCTGAAAAATTGATACATTTAAATACCTCTACAAAAAATTGATACATTTTGGTAAAGTTTAAGTTTGCTTCTTACGTTGTAGATGACCGGGAATAATGTGAATCAACAGTTTTGAAGCTTTCGATATATTTGCGAATCATTGTGTTTGGGGATTAGTCACTATTACATGTTTTCCCCTTTTACCAATTTGAGAAAACCCTAGAGAATGCATAGTAAACTCTTCTTTTGTCAATATTTAATTTATGCATTTATGCAATTGTAAAAATATTGTTGATTCGGTCATCAATCTTTATAATATATAAACTGCATTTTCTTATTTAAATCATAACGTCTACTTCGTTTTATTAAAACTTATTTGACAAAATTGAAGTAAAATTTTAATTTCTCCTAGTCACATGTTATTGTTATCATAATGAAATTGAAAATTTTCTGTAAACTAAATAAAATCAAAACAGAAATATAATTCGTGATTTATTCATATGCAAAAATAAGAAATAAAGTTATACTCAAAGATGAGAATGTAGTGAAACTTTTTCACTTTTTATACCCTAAACCTTCTTCGGTATCGAAATGTACATATGTACATATGTATATATATTCTGATCAGCGTAAAATCCAGCTCGCACGATAGCTCAAAAATGTATAATGCAATCCACACCAAACGTTCAAAAGTTGTTTCTTTTCTGTCCAGGACGACCCCTATTGTAGTTGAACCAATTCGAACAACGGCTTCGGGTAGCTGCCATACAACTCAAAGTGTTTATTTTAAATATTTCAAAAAATTAATAAAGGTACAAATATGAAATTTTATGAGAGTGTGTCCAATTACATTCTACACATGCTCCACGAATATTAATTGGATGACCACATCGGTTCGGATGGCTGCCGTACAACTTAAAACTTGGCAGTCGTATGTCCAATTATGGGTCAGATATATTCTTGAAATTTTGGTTGAATTTCTGGACAGAATCGTGTAACTGGCATATAACTCCGAAAGCTAATTTTAAATATTTCGAAAAATGATAAAGTCAGATTCTGAAACTTGGAAGCCTCGTACCCAATAATTCGCCAGAAATATCCGTGAAGTTTCCATAGAATGGTTTCACAGGTTCGAATAATTGCTGTACAACAATGAAAGATGCAAGGTAAAATTCAATCGGTTTATACCGACTGTAACGTTTTACTTGTTTTATTGTTGCTTTTGTTCCTTAAGTTAAATAGTCAAAAGTTTTGCAAAACTTTCCCTTAAAAATACTACTCAGAAAAAAAAGAAAGCATACATTTTATGCGTAATATCATATGCATAATATCATATATGCATTATATGTCTGCTTAACATTCTTTTTAGCACTTTTTCAAAAAATTTTTGAAATAAAGTGCTTATTAGTTTTACTCCTTCCATTCGTCCGCCAGTCCGTCCGTCCGTCCGTCCATCCGTGGACACTTTTTTTGTTTACAAAACTTCTACACCCTTCAAGACAGAAAGCTGAAATTTAATACGAACATAGATCTTTAAACTAAAAACTTATTTTCGTAGAACAAAATTTTTACCTATCTCCCCCCTCTAGAAGTTATACCCCCGCAAAACCCTAAAAATGGGCTTTTTTAACTATTTATTGCAATGAAACCATAAACATTTTTAAAATTTTACAAACACATAATGGCAGCGGCTTGCTTCTCCTAGAGCGGTATACTATAGTTAAACTTTAGAAAAACAAAATGGCCGTTCAAATTTACCGTTATTTAAAGTCTTTTTTTCCAAATTTTTGATTTCGTTTTTCTTCTAGACCCCAGCCTGTAGAAGCTTGAAATTTTAGGAGCTTTTAGACATTAACAAATAGTTCATTTCGTTAGAAGAAAATTTTTTTTCCATCTCCACCTCCTCTCAAGTTATCGCCTCTTGAAATTTGTAAAATTTGAATTTTTGACACCTTATATTTCCGAAACCGCAAGCTTTTTCAAATTTCTATAAACACAAAAAGCTAACGGTAAATTCCATGACATTAAAAAACATAATTTTTTATCTTAACTCAGACAATTAACCCTTAAAATCGAGCATTATGTTAACCTATCTTTATATTAATTTTTGCTAATCCTAAATATATGCAATCCTAGAAATAGTTTCGTATATGAATGAAAATATTTTTAATAGTGTGGTAGATATACATAGGCTATATTTAAAAGCAGTATTTTCACTAATTATTAAAAAGAAAAGTGCTATAATACAAACCATTGGTTAACATTTCAAATAACCAATGTTAATAATAATCATTATTAACATTTCAAATAAGTAAATACAAAATAGTCTGGTCCAAGTATTAAAGCACGCCGGAAGTGATTCGCTGAAGTTTTGTAGAAAAAAAATCGTATGAGTGTGGAGAGGGGAGGCACACATTGGGCGCTGTGAAGGCATAAAGCATTACATAAGTTAACATTAGTTATCGCATTGGCTGCAAAACGCTGGGCGAGCCATGAAAGTTCCCTATAGCAAAATTGTAAAAGCAGATGTACCGCATAGAGAAAAAAGAAGAATGGGCTTTTTCGAGATATTTAGCGTTTTTTTTAAATTTTCAGTTTTTCAATTCAAGATTTTGTGTTTGAGCTCCTATTAATTGAAAGCGTAAGTGTTTTACCTGTCATTGGTATACCCAAGTAACAATTTCCAATAGTAATATCCTAAAAAATCTCTCTCGTAAGGTTCTTACAATAAAGATTTATCACTTGTACTGTTAAAAATTCTGTTACTCTCATAGCAGAACTACTTTCAGTAAGCCTAAAAAAATTTTAATTCTCATAAAATATTTTTCATGTAGCTTTCGAAAAAAAGTACAGAAAAAATATCTGGAGCATAAAGCATCATCAAATTCTAAAAAACCTAATGTAAATACTATAAAAGGTTCCAATTTTAATCAATCAGACATAATAATGCCTGACGATTCTAAAAATTTACAACAAAATAATAACCTTTTAGGGTCGAGAATTATCAGTGCCAACTTCTTTTTATGTGTTACAAACGGAAACGAATAATGACAACATACCTGTAAACATTATTCGTTTAGGAATCCATTATTCTCATAAGAGAAATTTAATTCTCATAAGCCTAGTTGTTAGATACGCCCATTTTAATATTGTCATTTTTCCTTGTCTAAATTTTAACCCTTATAAGACTGAGAATTATTTTTTTGGAAAGAAGTCCGAAAAATATTTATGGTACAGAAATTATTAAATTATAATTAATGAAATGCAAAATTATAGTTTTATTTGAATATAATAAAGCTTTAGTTGGAATTTATGCACATTATAATACATATTTCTTTTTTGCTTAACAATTCTTAAATTTTAAAATTTATGTAAAAGGAAATAAGATATAGGGTTAAAAAATATGTATAAGAATTTTTTAAATTTTAATTATTTTTAGTTGGCGTTGCTTTTTTTTGAAGTACAATACCAACTTTTATCAATAAATTTTAATGCCAGCAACTTTTTGATTTATAATCATGGCAAAAAAACTATTTTAGTTTCCCATATTTATAATTTTATAATATTAAATTTTGAAAACAAATATTTATTGATTACAAATCATATACGTATGTATATTTTGCTTCATTTTTGTTAGAAAAATTGTTATTAAAAGCGGAATAGATATATTTTTTTAAAAGTTCGAAGTAAGACCGATACATTTATCTTACATTGCTTTCTTTTTCTAGTACCACCATTATAAGTGGCTTGCGAGAGTTTTCGTAACTCTCATACTAGTTTTGGTATGAGAGTTATATGCTTTAAAACTTTTTTAATGGGAGCTTAACTCTCATTACCAGAAATAATAACAGTCCTTATAAAGATCTCACTAGGGAACACTTTTAGTGTTCTACAAAACTGAAATTATTAGAATTTAAGAATTCTCAATATAGCTCTACCAGAGTCTTATGACATAAAAATTGTTACTTGGGTACTGTTATTAAGCCGATGATAGATGAAAAAATTACCCACTAGAGGCTTCTAGTCCAACATATAATACAGAAATTGTAGCCAGACTAAAAGAGAAAACAAAATAATTATTTATTAAATATATAATTAGCTATAAAAATTCTCATACAAAATAACTATTTAGTTGTATCGTATTCGAAAAAGCGTACAGTATCTTCATATCATACCGTATTTAAACACTCTATGCGTAATAGATCCTATGTAATATTTGTTTGCTTAGATTAAGTATTAACATTAAAATCGTTTACGGCCGAAGTTAAAAGTTCACAATTTTGTAACATTTCGAATAAGTAAACATAGGGTAGTAAGTCCAAGTAAAGAGAGGGGAGGAGACTTTTGGACACTTAAAAAAATTTGAATGAAAATTTTGTTCGACAAATATCTATTATAATTTCGAAGCTTAACTAAAAATTTTTTGTCAACTATATAAACTATAACCTTATCTGCAAAGTTCTTCATTGCAAAGTTGCAGCGATAAATGAAAAAATTATAGGCTTTCGTGAAATAAAATATTACAATTTTTTTTTAAATTTTCCGTTTTTCAAATCAAAATTTTGTGTTTGTGAAGTTCATATTATTATGACAGTTTGTAAACGAGCGTAAGTTTTTGAAATGAACAGTACTACAATAAACGCAGTCAATATTTATATGTCCAATATTATGAGTTGAACCAATAATGACATATGAAAGATAAATTTAGTTTTATCGCTAATATAACCTATGTAAAACCAATTTTTACATAGTAAAGTTATTTAAATTACTATTTACTCCCACTACTTATTGCAAGGAAAAAAAGCCATTAAACTGACTGCAAAATTTTGCTCAAATGAAAAATTTGCATAGATTTAGGTTAACGCAGCTATTCAAGTATCCACTTAAACAAAGTAAGTCCATTGTGATACCATAGGATTTCTCTATATATACTTGAAACCTTTATATACCGATTTGGATCCCCGGCTTTTACAGTCGTTAGTTCCGAATGTTAGTTCACTGAACCATTCGTGACTCGATTCCCACCGCTTTCTAATGGCTCTCTACTAAAATGTACATAAAATAGGATTAATTGCCCTCAATGTAATACCTATGTGAAATATCTTTGATCTATGAGTTTAGGGCAACTGAAAAAATTAGTCACCCTTGCAGATTATGGTCCGTCATACAAATACAATTTAACTTATATGATTCCATGAAAACCAATCGCAGACATTTTATTGAGAAGAACTTTATGATTGTCAACTCATACAGAGAAATGCTAACCAAATTATTCAGCACTGAAAAAATAAATTCTATCAAGATATTTTAATATTTGAGATCTAATGGTCTTTTCGAACACTTTTTAAAGCATGATAATAATAAAATTGACCTATAATTATTTCTAACTAAAGAACTATCGCTTTTAAATAATTACAATACAACAGCCACGTTTTACTACCGAACTAAAAAAGGGAAAATAATATTATTCGTTGCTAAATAAAATTTGACCTAACCAAACAAACATAAAAGTAACAAAAATGTGGTAAAAATGTAAAACACACTATATATTTCAATAATTTAATTATAATAGCATCAGCTCTAACATAGCATAGGTTATCTAAGAATCTAATTGTTTACAAGAATTCATATTGCATAAACGTCAATACTGTGACAAAAAAAAACTACCAATTCATCCATAATATTATTAAAAACATTAAAATGATTAATAAATTCACTGCAACAGAAGAGCAGCGCATGCTGAATTCCTTCGCAACCAAATTGTAATTTTACTTTTAAGCTGATTTAAAAAAAAGTCTTACTAATCCACAGTCTGAGTTTAAAGGTTTTCTAGAGATAGGTAAATATAAGCACACTTCCATATAATTTCACACAAGGTCTACTGTCATACCTCCCGATATAATAAAATCATTAGAATCATTAGAATTAGATGCACCCCTTAAAAACACGAAAACTTTTAAGAAAAAAACTAACGCGAATGCTATTTAACCCATACAATCAACATATTCTAAAATAATCCATTAAGCTTCCCCTCTCGTACACAAATTCAATTTATTACACAATATGCATATGAATGTAATACACACATAAATTTATACAATCTTTTTAAATAGTCCAACTCGACCAACATGATAAAAGTTATTAACGTTGGCATAAATTTTTTAATCTGGTAAATTATATATTTTAATATTTCTCCATTCAAAGTCTCTATTTGCAACCTTACATCTGGAACCAGATTAAAGCTGAAACTTTCCTAGAACTACCCAAATACGACATTAAACTACGTACATTATTGCAATAAATAAATACAGAATGAATGAGAAAGTTATAATTGTTAAGATTAAAATTTAAATTATTACTTATTTTGAGTTAATACTAACACTATGACGGCTCAAATGATCCATTTTAAACTTTTTATCAGAATTTCTTTTATCATTTTTATGTTTTTTAACATTAACATGTATATAAACTATTTTGAGTTGTTATTCAACAAACATTTTTTTACTTATGCGCACTTAATTTGCCTAATTCATATATTTTCCACTAGACATTTTAATATATATATAAAATTTTAAATACGGGTCCTTTGACCCTTTGTAGGATTCGTGCTAATTTGCTTATAAAATCCAAATTATGAGTATCAAATCAGTTGATTTATTTCATTCTTTCATTTTCCTATTTTTTCGTTTATTATTTGAGAGCCCCAAATATTTTTATTTTTTTTAATTTTTTTTTTGTTTTTTGCAGCCAGAAACAAACGATTAAAAAATAAAGTTGGGTCAAACCAATGACTTGTATTGTAGCACTTTTCTCCTCAACAATAAGTGAAAATACTGCTCCTAAATATAGTCGTGTGTGCTTGCATTGCAAGCCTTGCAAATATTATGCCTGTAGTTTTGAAATTGTGTTCCATTCTGTGGCTGAGATATTTTAAGTTTACTTTATTTTTTCAAAAACACACCCGTAATATACATATAGATATGTTTTTTCCTAATAAATAATAAGGTAAAACTTAAAATAAGAAAATTTCTAAAAATAATTACCAAAAAATACATAATTAAACAAATAATTAGTTCCTTTGAGATCTCATACCTTTTGAGTAATTTATTTTAGAACCTCACTTTGAGTTATGTCGCATAAAATCGTAAAATACCTTTTACAATAAGCACTTTGAGCGATAAATAATTACTGTATACGCATAAAATAATTCGCTACTAAAATGCATTTACGTATGCATTTATAGTTTATAATACATGCGAATAAAACGCGTGACTGTAGAATGAGTTAACACCAATACTAATGTGTATAGGGTAATGCTTATAGCATACGATTTCTATGCAAAAAATCCCAAGTTCGAACCGTGAAAAATGCGATTTGCCAGATGAACTTTTTTCTATTGATAATCTTATTTTTCTTAAATTAAAATTAAAATAGGCTTCACCCTTAAAATTCAATACCAACGAGTTTCCGTTCTAAATATTATTTTGAAAATACCCTATTTGTAAAAAGTTTAATGCAATACAATAACATTTTCTTATAAAATTTTGCCCTAAAAATATATTGTCAAGAAGTTTAGTGTACACTTATGTTTTGCTTACTAATACATTTTGCATGAAACCACGAAAAGAATACATAACTAAATGCGTACGTACATACTTACAAAACAATGTAAATTTTATTAAAACATTACAATTTTCTTAAAAAAGTGATCACTTTTTGTTATAACTCACACTTCCAAATATGAATATACATACAATATTTATACCTCCAAAAGTAAATAAAAATTACCCCTACAGGATGTAGTACCATTTCGTAAAACACGGCTCCAAAGCACCTTGGGAGGGGTGAAGGAGAGGGCGAGTGGAATTCTTGCTTTTTCTGGGACCCTGGAGGCAAAACCCTATCTAATGCCTTTTATCCCATGTCTCTAGCCCTTCTAGAAGTACCCGTACTTTTTGGTACCTGAAAAGTAGATATATATATATAATATTTTCATTCTTATACGAAACTATTTCTAGGATTGCAGATAGATAGGATGAATGATTTATGCAGTCTTTTTGCTTCATTTATGCAAGCAAAAATTAATTTAAAGAGCGCTTAACATAATGTCGATTTTAAGGGTTAATTGCGTGAGTTAAGAAAAATAATTATTTATTTTAATGTTATGAAATTTACCGTTAGCTTTTTACGTTTATAGAAATTTTAAAAAGCTTGCGGTTTCGGAAATATAAAGTATCAAAAATTCAAATTTTACAAATTTCAAGAGTCGATAAGTTCTCAACTTGGAAGGGTGGAGATGGAAAAAATGAATTTTAGATAACCGTAAATTTGAACTGCCATTTTGTTTTTTTAAAGTTTAACTGTAGTATGCCACGATAGAAGAAGCAAGCCACTGCCTTTCAAAATTTGAAAAATTTTAAAAATGCTTATGGTTTCATTGCAACAGATAGTTAAAAAAAGCCATTTTAAGGATTTTGATGGTGTACAACTTTCAGAAGGGGAGAGATAGGTAAAAATTTTGTTCTATGGAAATAAGTTTTTAGTAAAGATCTATGTACGTGTTGAATTTCAGCTTTCTATCTTCAAGGGTGTAGAAGTTTTGTAAACAAAAAAAGTGTCCACGGATGGACGGACGGACGGACGGACGGATGGACAGAGTGAAACTAATAAGCACTTTTTTTCAAAATTTTTTTTGGAAAAGTGCTAAAAATGTAGACCTACTATTAATATAAATCTTCTTGCTAAAATCATCACCCAATAAATTTGCTTTCCGATTTTTGAAGCACTTCCTTTTTAATCATTTGCCGCTCTTATCATTTCTGTTTATCACCTCTACCGACTCAATTTTTTATTTTTACCGATGTATACAATAAGGTAGGTTATGTGATGGCAACAAATTTTGCATGTCGAGTTTTCTCCAAGGTATGGGAGTGTAAATAAACTATTTTTAGCAACCTGTCGGACTGTGTGTGTATCTCTAGTTCGGCTGAACCGATTTGGATGAAATTTTATATTTAAGTTTTAAATTCGAAGTGTTAAAACAAAGCGTCTATAAATTTTTTGGGCAGAACAGGGCTCAGAAACTTATCTGGGGACCGATTTTACATTTTCTTACCTTATCTACGGGATGAATTAATGGAATTCCTGGGAATTTAATATTTGAGTTCTGGTTGTTTACGTATAATTCGAAGGGCACAAAATTAAGCTCTCCTAAGTGCCGAATTCTAAAGTAAAATTGTAAAGAAGTTTCTAAAACGCATTTTCATAATCTTCTGGAATACTTTTATAATCTAGACAATATTACATTGCGTTCAGTAACGTTCTGATCACATCAGATTGTTTTCAATTCTTTCGTGCGAAAACTTTTAGTTTTAGACATTCTTTCAAGTTTTTATTTACCAGTATATACATAGTCCTCTGCACTTGGATTATTGATATACTTTGTTCGAATATTATTCGAATTGTTTAAGTAAACTTATGTAATTTTTACATTGTTTATTTGTTTTAGCACTTGTCTAAAAAAAAATTTGATGTTATATACCCCCTTTAAAAGTTATATACTGTGTGTGCACGCGTGTATCTAAAGTTCGGCTGAACCGATTTTGATGAAATTTTATATGTAAGTTTATTTCGACCACGGCACGGATTGATCGACTTTTGGGATATATCAAGCCTCGGGAACTAAATTTTTTAGCGGGCTTGTTTTACATTTTTGCCCATTTTAAAGAAAATATTCAACCGATTTACTTGAAATTTCAAATATGAGCTTCGCCCGACCGTCCGCAAAATCTTTTGGAAGAAATCAGGCATCAGTAATTGGACGTTTACTACGGGTCAATTATATATTTTTGCGTATATAAAGAATGCAATTACTAAAGCAATGAATATATAAAATTTTTGGAAGAATCAGGGCTCAAAAACTGATCTGAGGGCGGATTTTACATTTTTCACCATATCTATGGAACGAATTGATGGAATTTCTTGAAATTTGATATTTGAATTCTGGTTGTTACCGAAACTAACTGGTGAGCGTTTCAGGGAATTCGGGTAGCACAAAGGGAAATTCTACTATGAGCCAAATTTACATTTTTCTAGGTATGTTAACTTTAAGCTTACTATTATCCTAAAAATTAGAAAGAAGTATTTAACAGACATTTTTATAATATTCTGTAACACTTTCACTTAACTAGACAGTACACATTGCGGTCGGTTATGTGCTGACCACATCGAAATTTTGTTGTTTTAGTTCTTGCAAGTTTCTTATAATATTTCAAGCGCTTTTTGTTTTTTATACCCTGTACCTTCGTGAAGGGTATGTTCATTTTGGTATGAAGTTTGTAACCAATTAAAGAAGTCGTCTCCTGTATGGACATACATATATATATATATATATATATATATATATATATATATATATATATATATATTTTATTTTTTTTTATTTTTTTATTCAAATTTACAATATGTATTCAAGATTATAATATTTAAGGTCTTATAAAAGTATGCTATAATATATAATATAACAATTTATTATTAACTTATAATTATTTCAAAAACTTAATTAATACAAAATTTAAAATTACACTGTATCATATTGTTACAAAAAAATATTAAATTCTGAATGAAAATTAAAATAAAATAAAAAATGTCCATATATATACAGGGTTTTTCGGAAAGGTATACCACAACATATACCATTGGTTAGAGGGTGGAAAATGGGTAAAACTTTTGTTCCGAACTAGGTTCGAAATCTCAAGGGTTTTCGAGATATAGAGATTTTAACGAATTTTCATAAAATTTCTAGTTATCTAAGCTTTTTTGATTATAACTTCCGTTCCGAAAAATATAGGGGAAGAAAATCAGCTTTGACAAAGTGCGTATGTAGCGCACGAAATATATTAGCGAAAAATAAAAGTATTTTATTCCGAATAAAATATAGCGGCTTCAAACAAACAATTCGTGAAAGGTCTAGTAAAGGGCTTAAAATAAACACCTTCCTCGATTATGTATTTTGTGTACTTTAATTTAAGCGACTAAGGGTTGAAAATTTTTTTATGGTACAGAAGATATAGCACGAAAACTTTTTCTATGTCAAAATTTTAAGCATTATTTTTGATTTTTATTGATTTTAAAGGCTATATTTATCATCTACTATTGCACTATTAATGCACTTTCTTCCTAAAAAACCGGTAACACTTTTAAGAACCGTTATTTTGATAAAAAATCTAAATTTTATTATTTTTATAATACAATAAATTATAGAGAAAAAACACTTTTTTTGAATTTTTTTCGGAACTTTTCTCTACAAATAAATTTTTTAGAGATGCTGTGAGCAAAATAAGTGACCGAAGATTGCCGGAATTCTAAAAGGCCCACCTGTTGTCATCTCATTCACTCTTTCTGGGAGCTAAATTCTTGGTCAACTTTTTATATTTAATTAACTTCAGTTTATTTCCCTTCTGAAATCCCTGAACAGCTTGAGCAATTGAGTATTTGTAGCAAAAAATTGTAAAATAATAAAACCATGGAGAATTTTTTCTAAATTACGTATTTCAATAAAAATGTTGAAATTCAGATTTTTATCAAAATAACAGTCCTTAAGAATGTTATTAGAGTGATATTACAATAAATAAAGTTGGGCCAAACCAATGGTTTGTATTGTAGCACTTTTCCCTTCAACTAGTCAAAATTGTACTTTTAAATACAGTCTATGTATACTTATCACACTATTAAAATTATTTTCATTCATATTCAAAGCTTTTCCTAGGATTGCATATATTTAGGATGAACGATTTATGCAGTCTTTTAAATAAAGCGAAAATTATTATAAAGAGGGGTTAACATAATGCTCGATTTTAAGGGTTAATTGTGTGAGTTAAGAAAAATAATTATATTTTTTAATGTGATGGAATTTACCGTTAACTTTTTCTGTTTATAAAAATTTGAAAAAGCTTGCGGTTTCGGAAATATAAGGTGTCAAAAATTCAAATTTTACAAATTTCAAGAGGCGATAACTTGAGAAGGGGTAGAGATGGAAAAAAATTTTCTTCCAACGAAATAAATTATTTGTTAATGTCTAAGAGCCCTTAAAATTTCAAGTTTCTACAGGCTGGGGTCTAGAAGAAAAACGACATCAAAAATTTGGAAAAAACGGACTTTAGATAATGGTAAATTTGAACGGCCATTTTGTTTTTCTAAATTTTAACTATAGTATACCGCGCTAGGGCAGGCAAGCCGCTGTCTTTATGTGTTTGCAAAATTTCAAAAACGCTTACGGTTTCATTGCAACAAATAGTTAAAAAAAGCCATTTTTAGGGTTTTGGGGGGGTATAACTTCTAGAGGGGGGGAGATAGGTAAAAATTTTGTTCTACGGAAATATGTTTCTAGTAAAGATCTATGTACATACAAAATTTCAGCTTTCTATTTTCAAGGGTGTAGAAGTTTTGTAAACAGACACACGGACAGACGGACGGACGGACGGACGGACGGACGGACGGACGGACGGACGGACGGACGGACAGAGTGAAACTAATAAGCACTTTTTTTCAAAAATTTTTTAGAAAAGTGCTAAAAATCAATAATAGGTGATAAATACAGCTTTTAAAATCAATAAAATCAAAAACAGTGAATTCTTTTAGCTTTTTAGATTTTATTGGGGCCTTTACAATCTGAAATAGAAAAGGTTTTCGTGCTAAATCTTCTGTACCATAAAAAATTTTTCAACCCATAGTGGCTTAAATTAAAGCTGGGGAAAGTGACCAAAATTCTGTAAAAAAAATTTCAAAGTTTCAAAAAATTTCGAAATTACCTGGTTAGAAAAAATTGAAAAAATAAAAAAAGGGAAAAATTTGATTTTTCCTAAAGTTCGAACGATTGGTCTTCCGAAAGTACTCAAAATACATAATCAAGTAAGGTGCTTATTTTAAACCCTTAACTAGGCCTTTCAGAAACTGTTTGTTTGAAGCTCTTATCTTTTTCGGAACGGAAGTTATAATCAAAAAAGCTTAGATAACTAGAAATTTCGTGAAAATTCGTTAGAATCCCTGTATTTCGAAAATCCTTGAGATTTCGCACCTACTCCGGAACAAAAGTTTTAACCATTTTCGACCCTCTAACCAATGGTATATGTTGTTGTATACCTTTCTAAATCACCCTGTATATATATATGTCCATAAATGCAATTACTACAGGGAGTTGAAGCAAAACTTTGACTTATATTCAGTTTTTTCATTTTTGTTTTGTGTTTATTATTAAAAACACAATCATAATCATTATAATCATAATAATTATATTAAACCTTCAATTAGTTGCTTAATTTATCAATATTGAAAAATTTACTTTCACAGGTAAAGAAATGGTCGATTACATTGCAGACTACCTTGAAAATATACGTGATCGTCGAGTCTTTCCCGATGTCAAACCTGGTTACATGCACAATTTATTACCAGAGTCAGCACCGGTTGATGGCGAAAAGTGGGAAAGTATATTTAATGATATTGAACGTATTATAATGCCAGGTGTAACTCATTGGCAAAGTCCCCATATGCACGCATATTTTCCAGCATTAAACTCATTTCCATCGATGTTAGGAGATATGTTAGCTGATGCTATCAATTGCCTAGGTTTTACATGGGCAAGCTCACCAGCTTGTACCGAGTTAGAAACAATTGTAATGAATTGGTTAGGAAAGATGATTGGTTTACCTGACGAATTTCTTCATTTGAACAGTAGCAGTAAGGGCGGTGGTGTAATACAAACAACAGCAAGTGAAGCTACTTTGGTTTGCCTTCTAGCAGGTCGCACACAGGCTATTAAGAAATTTCATGAGCAAACTCCTGGACATCAGGATGCAGAAATCAACGCAAGACTTGTTGCTTATTGTTCAGACCAAGCACATTCAAGTGTAGAGAAAGCTGCATTAATCGGTATGTATTAAAACATAAAATTCTATTAAAATTTTATCATTTTCAATTCCAGGTCTTGTGAGGATGCGTTATATTGAATCAAATGAAGAGCTTTTGATGCGTGGAGCACCACTAAAGGAAGCAATAGAAACCGATATTAAACAAGGCTTAATACCTTTCTGGGTAATTTAAATAGTATTAATTATGATATCTTTATTGCTTAGAGATTCCAAAATATGTTATTATTTTTGGTATGTTTATAAATGCAAAAATGGAATTCATACAATATATTTCTATTTGGTTGGAATTTCAATTTTTTTCTCAAAATTAATTGGTTTTAAAAAAAGATTGGGGAAAATGAGTCCCTTTGGGAGCAATTAATTTTTGATGCCACAAAAAGGAAATTCATTGAAAGCTCCTTAAATGAATTTTAATGATAAAAATAGTTTTTCATCAAGACGAAAAGTAATTTTTTATATTATATCTTTGACTATGCGCATAAAAAATTGTAAACATGTATCTTATATAGAATAATATTAGAACGAATATTTTTTAAAGAGATCCAAAATTGAATATCTTGCAATTCGTTGCAAAATTTAATGTTTCACAAAGTTCTGCAATAATAATGTTGGAAGAATTTAGTGTTCAAATGATTTAATTTAAAATAAAAACTCCTTATATAAGTAACATAAACCAAAAACATTTTAATGTTCATTGCTCTTTTACAACAAATTTTCAAAATTGTGTTACAAACACTTTTAGTAAATGATTGTTTATATACATATGTACACTGTCAATTAAGATGTACATACTTTGAATCAAAAATAGTTTTGTTACATGATACTAAAACTGACGCGTGTGTTTATTGATATTCATATTTGTGAAGTTCTATTCAATACTTACTACTCTTGTTTTTTGATATGTTATATGAACATTGATTTATGATAAAACCTTATATTGATATATGACAAAACTTATTATAATTAAAATTACTTAAAATTTGTTGTATTTTTAAGGTTTGTTGTACATTAGGAACAACTGGAGCATGTGCTTTTGATAATTTGGATGAGGTCATTTAACATATTCATTTATTTTAATATTTATTTTGTAATCTTACTATATTAACTATTTCTATAGATTGGAGAAGTTTGTCGTGAATTCGGTTTGTGGTTACATATAGATGCCGCATATGCAGGAAGCGCATTAATTTGCCCTGAATATCGCGTATGGTTAAAGGGTATTGAAAGAGCAAACTCTATAGCATTTAATCCATCGAAATGGTTGATGGTTCACTTTGACTGCACTGCAATGTGGTAAGTGGAATTTAAAATTTCAAAGCTACATTTTGAAATTTCTGGTAAATAAGTGTTCACAATGTTTGTTTAAGCTATTAGGATTTTTCTGCAAATTAAATTAAAAACTTGGTTTTACATTTCATAGATAATATGGAACTCTAGCTATGTCTATTTTTATAAAACGTAAAAATTTTGCAAACAAAAACACAGACAGTTTTATCTTGGAAATTGCAATTCAAATCGAATTAATTGAACGCAAATAAACAGCAATCAATTACCTGTAACACAAGCTCCCAACAAGACTACAGCAGGCAGTAGCTTAAGAACGAGTATATCTGCCCCCATCCATACAATTTTTTTAAAAATTTATCAAAAAATCATCCTTGAAATTACTTACCACCCTATGCGGAACATCTTGCACAATAACTAAAATATAGTGCACATTAACAAAAGGTTCTACTTCAGCTACGTAAACTGTTTCAATAGTTGCTGAAGGATTAGAAATGTACAAAACTCAAAGGAGTTTTTCTTGAATGAAATATTCATCATCAATATTATCTTTAAAGCACTTTTAATATTAACACAGATTGGGAAAAATCTTCGGAAAGGTTGCTAGAAAAAGTAAAAAAAAAAATTTAAGTTTCGAAAAAGCCAAAGTATAATTGCTTTAAATTTAATTTTCCTGCATGGTGTTTTGTTCAATTATCATTTTAAGTTTCAAAATTTAAACTTTTTAATTCTTTTATTCATTTCAAAGAGTATTATAAATTTGCTACTCTGCTTATAACTTAAATAATAGTCTGACATATTGGCGCAACTGCATGTTTTTGATCAGAGTCGAATTCTGGTTCTATTTAATCATGTCCTTTCGCATGCCCGTCTATCCATCTGTCTGTCCGTCCCAGCGATAACTCAAAACTAAATGAGTTAAATTTGGCTAATTTTCAAAATTAAAAGATGAATTTATGCGTAATTTTCAATTTTTTGCTAAATTTCGGATTCCGAGCTTAAATATAATTATCCAATGTATGATATTCACGAATATAATGTTCAAAATGTATAAGACTTAAATGTAAACTTAAAGCGCCATTTTATTTTATTTATTTTGGTATAATGATAATCAACAAAAAAAAAATAGGTTTTCAGATATTTTAAACTAATTAAAAATCTATTCCAATAAAATAATATACATATACATAACATGCATTTAAAAATTTAATAGAAACAAAAAATTAAAAGTTTCAAGAAAAGGTGTTGAATATAGTTGAATCTAAATCTCGTTTTTTTCTGAAAAAAGAATAATTATTAACCATACATAAAGAGGACATGCAATAGGTTAACTTGTCCGTCTGACCGTTTTTTTAAATTTTACAATCGCGTTTGAGTAAAAAGTGAAATTCAGCTTTCCGAACTTAATGAAATTAAGTTTTCTGATTAAAAATTCTGAGCTGAATCGAAGTTTTCTATTAGAAAACTTAATTTCATTAAGAGCAAACTATTTACAAAAGCAAAAATGTTTCACTTCCCCAAAAAAAAAAAAGTGATTTTAAAAATTTGTGTTTGTCAGTGTGACCACTGATGGAACTTAAGGGTTGAGTTGTTTTGTAAAAGCCATACTAAAAAGTAAAACACTCTCACGTATAACGTTTCCTAAAATGTATTTTAGTAAACTTTCCTTATATTAGGGTCAAGGACAGCACTGCAGTTCATAGAACTTTTAACGTCGAGCCTCTGTACTTGCAACATGAAAATTCCGGACTAGCAATAGATTACATGCATTGGCAAATTCCTTTAAGTAAAAGATTTCGATCACTTAAACTTTGGTTTGTTTTACGATATTTTGGAATTCGAGGCCTACAAAAACATATCAGAGAGGGGGTACGACTGGCACAAAAATTTGAAGCATTAGTTTTAGCAGATCATCGGTTTGAAATCCCAGCAACACGACATCTGGGTATGTCATTTTTTTAAGAAAATATTAATAAATTGCATTTTTTTTGCTGATAAATGTAGGAATGGTAGTATTTCGCATAAAAGGCGAAAATGAACTCACAGAAAAATTACTAAAACGCTTGAATCATCGTGGAAGATTACATTGTGTTCCAGCATCATTGAAGGGTAAATACGTAATTAGATTTACAGTAACATCAACTCAAACAACAATTGAAGACATATTAGAGGATTGGAATGAAATTAGAGTAGTCACATCAGAATTACTAGAAGAAATGAATGTCAAAATTGATCGTATAAAAGTGTTTTTAAAAGGTAATTGACCATATTGATCCAGTTTGTTTAATTTAAACTAAAATTTAAATATTCTCGAATAACAATTCAAGAATAAATGATTTATGAATATAACAAACATGCGTTATAAAAGTACAAAATCCAAGACACGGTAAAATAGAACGTTTTGACGCATAAAAAACATAAATCCGAAAGTAACTTTTTCATACGTTTACTGCAGCTATTTCTGTATGGATGTATAAAGATATACATATATATATTTCTCGCTCAGCTCAGCTGAATCGAATTCAAATCCGGTGCTGAACAAAAATATTATGTAGAATACGAAGAATCACTTGAAGATAATTTATTCATAATTTAATCTCAAAATGAGCAACATAATAAATAATAAAGGCAACTAGAAGGAAAGACCGATTCGATTCGCAATGTGCCAAATTTTCGAGCCCTGAAACTTACCTGCTAATCTGGCAAACTGAGACTTTTTTGAACTTTCATAGTCGCGAAATTTCTTCTTGTTAATTCTGTAAACTTAGCATTAGTTCAATGTCTGAACCGAAATTCGCGGGAGTACAGTCGAAGAAGTAAGATTATTCCTAATTATTTACTTAAAAAATGATACACATACATACATATAAATATTATAGATGGTATATACATATATATATATATATATAGATATAAATAATAGATATAAATAATAGATAGACATTGAAATTGAAGAACTTCAAACATATCAATGTAAAAGTTGAATATTTCAGTATAAAAATTTTCCAAACAAAATTTGAAAATTGCAAAATATTTCCGATACCAGTCATAAAGCATTTGTCTACCCATTTATATAAATTATATTTTCTGCAAAATTTTAATTAATCTTCAATGCAAATAACTTTGTATTTACTATAATTGTTGCTTCGTATTTATAGACACAAAAGAAAAAAGCGAAGCATTTGGCTCAAGCTTATTACTTTCTAATTCACCAATGTCGCCAAAGGTAGTAAATGGCTCTTTTGCCGCAATATTTGACGCTGATGAATTCTTAGCTAAAACTTATGCTGGAGTAAGAATTGCTGTAAGTAAATTTAATTTATATTTTTTTTAAATTTTGCATTCCAAATTATATAAATGTCTTCATCTAATTCAATTTTTATAATTTATAAAAAGAAATTTAATGTTTATGGCATTTATGATTGTTTAATTTTATTTGGAAGTAATCTTGTTTTAAAATTTATGTAAGAAAATATTAATTTAATTTGGGTTTCTTTTATTTTTAGGGTTTATTTTTCTTTAAATGGGTGGAAAAATTAATTTCATATGCTTTGAAATACTTCCGCTAAAGCAGCTGCTTGAATTAAGTTATTTTGCTAAAATTGAATAATAGTTACAGATAGCAGAAACTTAATAAATATATATTTATTTATTAGCTTGTATTGTACTGTATTGTTAATTTATAAACCTTTTAATAGTATTAATTTAATTCAAATAAGTAATAATTTGATTCAAAATTTTTTTAATTTAATTTAAATTAATTGATAATTTTCGGACTCGATCGTTCGGTCCCAGAACTACAAACTGCAAACAAGTACCGATGGTTGTCATAAATTCAGTAATTATATTGTGCTTTCTTGCTTTATTTTGAGCTTAGTAAAAAACTCGATGAATTAATTTCAACAAGAACCAAATATTTTAAAATATTCTTTAATTTATTTATCTTCAGCTTCTTTGTAAAGTTTTAGAATGTTTTACCTTAAAAATTTAAATGTAGTAAAAGAAGTTGGAATACAGAAAAATTTGGTAGACTTCTGTAGCTCAGTTGATACAACGTCCGCCTAGAAGGCGACAGGCCCCTAGTTCGAGTCTAGTTTGAGGAGAAAATTTTTCTAATTTTTCTGCCTTGACTCGTTTCTTTGATTATTTTATCTATTTGTTTAGCAGTTGTTTGAAGAAATTTCCATTAGATATTTTTTGATTATGATAACATTTATACAAGACCTTTTCTGGAGAAATTTTTTCCAATATATACGGCTTTCATTGTGAATTTTTCACAAATAAGTTACATGTAGTTTTATCATGTAAGTTACGTATAACGTAGTTTTAATTATTTCCTTAAATGCAGCTACCAACTTTATATTCGAAAGCTTTTGGTCTTATTTCTTTTTCGGTTCACAAGCATTCAACGGAATAAACATATTGTATAAAGACCGACAAGAATTTTTGGGAAATTCAAACATTTTAAATATGTGTTTCTAATCTAAATCAGGAAATGTGGCTCTTTCTTTAACTTTAACAAAAATTTCGCATTCACAAATAAAATTAATCAAACTGTTTCTAAATTTTTGTTTTTCTTCAACAGAAGACATAGCTTAAAAAGTTGATACATAAACATCGTTTTACAAAATACTTCATACATATGTATGTATATATAAGTTATACAAAATGACAATCTCCAATAAAAGAAACGAAGCTGCCAAAAAAAGCTTTGTTAACACCAAATTCCATCTGAAATAATTTAATATTCGCGTCGAATTTAATAAGACCCTGATTTTTGATTTGCATACCGCCACCGAATCAAAGAAATTTCTAAGCGACTACTGCATTTCGTTGTAGTACTAAATGAATTTTTCTTCTTATTTATTTACGTATTTTTTTAACGTCAAAAACAAAATTATAAGTATTTCAAATTATTTTTACGTTTTTGACATTATTTAAATAGATGCAATATCAAATCCAATCATAATGCAAAAAAATATTTAATTCTAAACAAATACACGTACCTTTTTTTATTAAATTTTTAGAATGCGTACACTGATTATTAATTGAATTTCTTATGCTTTCACTTTGGTATCCAGTATCTATAATGCAAATTTAAAAATAATTTATGTACAAATTGTACTAAAAAAAAAGAAACGCTTTTGTTCATCGTTTAAAATTAAGAATATGCCATATAAAGAAATATGGCGTAAAACAAAACATTGTGTTAATGCATTTACGGGTGACAAAAGCTGTAAGGTTTTGAAAATATTGCTACGTAATAATGAGAATTAAACATACTTAATTTAAGAATAAAGTAACGCTAACTTATACATTCCAACTACCATATGTTTTCATTTGCCATTACATATTAAGAAATTTTATTATTAGAAGCTTAACATTAAAATTTTATCGATTTAAAAATTATCTCAATTTGTTTGCAAAAAGCGCATGTTTTTATGTTTCTATATTAAATGAGATAAACAATATCTCTACAAGGTTTGGCCTTTGCTTTAAATGTATTAGGCATTGCATATTTATTTTATTTACACCTTTTCTACCTTATTTGAAACTTTTTCGAATATATTAATACTTTTTTCAGATGAAATAAAACAAAATTTTATTTAATTGAAACTTTTTTTTCAATTATTACATACAATTAGTAATATTATGTGGTGGCATCAAGTTCGCTTATTGTTGGTGGAAACTCACTTTTCCATAGTACCGAATCCTAAATAAACTATTTTTAGACAGATGTCTGTTTGTCGATCTCTGTGTGTGCGTGCGCGTATCTCCAGTTCGGCTGAAAATTTATATATGATATTACATTTTTGATTATATATTATATTTTGATAAGAAATTGTACAGGGTGATCCAGTAATCAGTTACATAAAGTATACATTTAGGGCATCAAAAATGAGTAAAATTTTGTTTGGAGCATCAAAAATTAGTGTCAAATCTCAACGGTTTTCCGAGACACAGGGATTTTAAAGAATTTTTGCTTATAACTTCGTTGCAGAAAATGATAGAAGCTTTAAATAAGCAGTTTTTGAAAGGGCTAGTACAAGGCTTGAAAGCAATATATTCCTTGACTTTGTATTTCATGCACTTTTGGAATACCAATAGTCGAACTTTGGGAAAAAGGTAAATTTTTACTTCTATTATTTTCTTTGAACACGGTAATTTCGCACGAAGTTTTTGAAACTTCGAAATTTTTTTACGGAATTTTGGTTACTTTTTCAAGCTTTAATTTAAGTTATTGGATGTTAAAAAATCTTGTTGGTATAAGAGATATAGCCATTTCATATAAGAGATAAAACCATTTCTATGTTAAGATTTTAAGGGCCCTAGTAATTATAGAAACTCAAAAAATTGTCACTTGACCTTGGAAACTAGATTTGTTTGCCTATTTAATATACTTTCTAATTTTTATGAAAAAATACAACAAAATTAGAAATATTAGCGTCCGGAAACTAAACTTTCACCAAGGGCTGATTTTATATATTTCATAATACCGAAAATCTTGAAGTCTAACATTTGAGTTATGTTTGCTACCTAAAGTACTCGTAATTGGCGAGTTTTCCAAAAAAATTCGGATGGCTTAAGGCAAACCTCTACTAAGAGCAAAATTTATATATTTCATTTACATCTTTCTTTGTTACCTAAAAGCTTATTAGCATCTTTAAAATTTGAAAAAAGTGTTTAAGAAACACTGTCATAGTTTTGTGTTGTGCTTTCGCCAAACTATAGGCAGTACATCTTACGGTTTCTTTGCTGATGGAACCCTTTTTTCTTTATTCAAACGTTTTTTATCAGAGATTTAATTTTATTAAAAACATCTGATGTAATCAGCACATAACCGACCGCTATGTGTATTGCCTAGTTTAGTGAAAGTGTTACAGAAGATTATGATATTGCATTTTGAACACATCCTTTCAATTTTAAGGAAGTTAGCTTTCAGCTAACATACCTGAAAGTTGTTTACATTGAGATGTTACATGCAATCTACTATTTGAAACACACAATCACTCGTTCTTTTGATCACGTTATCCATTTGTTCTGCAGTTGTATGAAGAAATTTCTATTAAATTAATATTAGTAATGTAATAAGCACATTATTTATTAATTGAACACGTACACGTTGTATTAGTAATCCAATATATTAGTGTAATAGGCACTAGTCATGGGTAATATCGCTCATTTCAGTGATTCGTTCTGAACGAACTACTTTTCTTCACTGACCCATTATCACTGAACTTAATTAAGCAACTGTTTTTAAATTTTTAGGAATAATTTTTGCTTGAAGCTTATTCATTTGTTATCTCCATATATGTTATACATAGAAATAATATAAATATTTTTTTTCTTTTTCAATATAACTTAAGTCACCCAAAACCACATTCAGTTTTGCAACAACAGCTTAAGTCGACTTAATTTGACGAAAATACAAAAGTAATTTTTCACAAATCGCCTAAGTCGAGATACACTTGGCAAAGTGCTTTTTATAAATTTGGTATAACCACATATCTCACATTTTCCATAATTATGAGACTACTATTGGTTGTTTTACATCAGGTTATGAGTTAATCGCTTTTTTGTTTTTAATTAACTTTCGTTAAAAAAAAAATTGGTTCAAAAAACTTAATCACCTTTAACACAATTTATTTTGAAGTGTTAAATTCATTTATCTCGAAATTACTAAAACAGTCTTAAGTCGTTTGTGCTTGAAGAAACTGAATTATATGGCTATTCGTATTTATGGTAAATTTTAAAGAAAAGAATATGTGATGGGTTTTGTAAATATTAGTAATAAATTTTGAATCATAAAATGCCTCTACTTATATAAGCCAAAAGGTTTAAAACGCAGAGAAAATTTAAGACTTTTGCTTAAAAAACTGTTAAATTATAAAACACTTAAAATATAAATAATTTCTTAAATTTGAAGAAATAAAAATTTTAAACCATTTGAGTTTAAATTTATTATTTATAAAAGAAATTTATTAAATAAAAATAAATGCAATTATCTTTATTTTTAATCCTCGAAAAAAGCTGAAATCATATTCTAATTTACTTAAACTTTTGTTTAATTTACTTTAACCTTAATTTTAATCCTTAATGGACTAGTATGTTAACTTATAATGATTATTGTCCCTGTACGAACGTATGCTCGAAGGGTATACTAAATTTGCCTTATCGTTTGTAACGCTAAGAAATAACGATCTTTGATATAGCCTCAAGTGTATGTTTTTGATCAACGTCGAATTCTGAGTTGATTTAGCTTTGTCTGTTCGTGCGTCTCAACTCAAAAACTAATTGAGCTAAGTTCATCAAATTTTCACAAATGATTTATTGTAGTAACTGCCAGAACCCTATTCAAATTGGACATGATCGGGGTACTGGTTCGGGTAGCTGTCGTACAACTTCAAAAGTTATTTGGCTATATCTCAGAATGTAATAGCTGTAATATTGATATTTCACACAAGCAAATATATTAGTAGGATTAGAATTGGTCAGTTCTTGTTCGATTTTCGTTGTATTGCATATAGCGATAGGTTATTTAATATATTGTTCAATTTTATTTGTATTTGATTTCATTTATACTTCATTTCTCGTTTTATACAATACATTTATTTGTATTCTATATTATATTGGTAAGGCAACTGATTCGGTCACTTTTGTGTGTATAGTACTTCGTTTATTCTACTTCTCATTTGCTTTTATCAATATTGCATATAGGAGTATGTCGTTCGTAATAATAGGCACAACACCTATTTATATATCGTCGGTTAAAAAGCAGAAAGCACTAAGTGCATTTTTTGAGAATTCGGATTTCATAGATGAATTAAATCAGAATAATATAATCTTTATTGTGGCAAAAAATCATGCAAATCCAGAATGTAGTTCATAAATCCAGAAATTAAAGAGGCCAATCCCATTGCACTTATTGATTAGTTTTACAATTTTGCGATTTTTTCAAATTGATTTTACTCAAAACACAGTTTAATGACTTGTGATTGTGTGCTTTAAATAGCAGATGCATGTAGCATCTAAATGTAAATAATACTTAATAATCATGTGGATTAAAGTATAAAGCAATGTGAAGAACATTTCGTCGGCAATTTCTTCATACCTCTGTAGCTAAGGTGGTAGAGCGTTTGCCTAGAAAGCGGTAAGTTACTGATTCGAGTCCAGTTCGAGGAGAAATTTTTTTTTAATTTTTCTAATTTTAACTCATTTCTATTTAACATTTATTCTATTTAACATCTATTTAACATATTTTTCTATTTAACATCTGTTCTGCACTTGTATGAAAGAGTTTCCATTAAATTAATATTATTAGTGTAATAGGGACATTACTTATTAATTAAACAACTACACGTCGTGTTAGTAATTCAAATTGGCAGTTAGTTTCGATAACAACCAAAACTCAAACATTAAATTTTTAGTAATTACATCAATCCGTTCCATAGATATGGTAATAATGCAAAGTCGACCCCTGACTTGGTTTCCAATCCCTTATATTTCTAAAAAATTTAGAGTTTTTTTTGTTTTAACACCTTTTTGTTTTATTTAACCACCATATAAATATTTAATTTTATAAAAATTAATTGATTATTTCTCTTTATATACGGAAAAATATACCGACATCTCTCTAAAACTAGTTTAGTTGAAAAAGTGCGTTCCAACCAAAATTTGGTGCTATTATACAAACTACCTCACTATATACAATGTGGTTGGTAAATATAGTTTCAATAAAATTGAAATGATTCAATGAAAAATAATTTGTATAAAATAAAGTTTCGTCGAGAAAAGTTCCTTTGGGTCGAAAAAGTTTCATTATTTTAGAAAACCAGTTGATTAAAGTTAACGATGCTATATGTCGTAAATGTTATTTCTAAAAGCGCTTCAGCTGGAAAAGCTTAGTTTTGTACTTGTCGCAAAAGTCATGTTTAAAAAAAGTGTTACGGAATTGTTAATAATTCAATTATGAGATGGGTTAATCAATATAATATAGAATAATATTATAAGATTATCTTCATACAGCTTTATATGCCGATCTGACGCAAATAGATCATTTTAGTCCAATTACATACTTTTTACCCATTAACAAATTTAACTTATGTTTTTTAAAATTAAAAATTAATTATGTCGACAAACATTCTGTTTGTTCAACATCTCATTACATTCTGAAAATTTTTAGAGCGCCCTAATAACTGGCGCTAAACGTCTTAAGCTTCTTGAGCTTTTAATATAATGACCCACACATCTTCTCTCGTTACAGCATCATCGCTCCAATTCGATCAGATAATCACTTACTTCCGAAAGTGATTGTCTGCTCGACCTCAATGATTGTAGAACTCAGCCTTTGCGGCGACCCTAGCAGCAGATTTTTTCCATTTTTGTCAACCCTCTCGGACAATAAATCAATAGGTGATTGTTCAGGAAGCGTACCGACATCAAGATCCCTCTCCATTCCAATATCGCTAGAATGGAATAGCGCTGTTCTTGCTACTGTTATTTTTGTTTTATTCATTTCTAGCTTGGTCTCATGAGTATTGTGAGATAAAAGTGAAATATCATGTTGAAAATAATATAATACATTATATATGAAAAATCCTCGCTAAACATGAAAAATAGGAATCACATTGGCATTGAAAATTTGAAATGAGTGGCAATCACAATGGAACTGCAATTTTTATATTTTTTTTTCTAAACAGCACATATAGACTGCAAGTGTGAGGTTTGACATTCAAAATAGATTATCTATTTAATATTTCTTTCTTTTTTGTTTAATTTAAGTACTGTTTCAATGTTACTCGTTTTATTTTTTAATTTTAATTATTGGCGTTCAGAATCCAACATTACACACAAAGCTACCACCTTTACGCCCATTAATAAAACGCCCAACAAATTTCACTAATTTTCAGCATCAAGATTCTCCATCAATGCGGCGTCGAGTTCGTGGAATTTTGATGTCAGGTAATTTTTTTAATTTTATATTATACACATTACTTCCAATCAGCACTTTCCATAACATGAAAATATATGTATATAGAAAATACATTCTATTGTATGTTAAATTGTAATCTTTCATATTGCTACATCATGCACCTAGTATTAACTAGTATTATTTTTGTCATATATCATGGGATTGTCAGAATGTGATAGATACGTATTAGGATTTTTTCTTGTGTCGTTGGTGTTTTATAGTTTCGATTATTACATGTGATATTTATTGCATCAAAATTACTTACTTGTGGATAAGTGAGTAGAATTTCTGATTTTTTTTTTACATTTGAATACTGTCAATTGGTACTGTAAACAAATGCTGTTTAAATTTAAACTTTATTTGGAATATATGATTCAAAAAAACGTATCGCGGGATTTTAGTAAAGAACTTCAATATGCTTTTATTTAATAAGCTCTAATATCGATAGGAATCATAGTTCCTATCGGTTTAACTCAAAAAAAGTACTCCCCCATCCTAAGCTAAGAATTCATAAAAAGATTAAAAAAGTTCCAAAAGGTGGTATAATTTCTTTGAACCTTACTTTTTAGGCAAACTCGAGCGGCTTTATTTTCCATTTATTTTTTCGCAAATTGATGTATTAAAATCGGCGAATACATTTTTCAAATCATGTACATCCGACTTCTGGTTCGAAAGGTTCAAAACTTCCTTACATAGTCTTAAATGTATTCGTTACTAATATGATTGATTACATTTCTCCGATCGATCATATAGGTTTGCCTCGTCATCTTAATTAAATTTCTAAATGTTGTATCAACTTAATGGTATGCGTACGATTGGTTTCAAAATTACCATTTTCGAGTTGGGCTAAAAGAAAAAAAAAATTTTCAAAAAACAATCTCAATTATCTCCTAATTATCTCAAAAATGCGGGCTATTGTTTTTTTTTCGAGATGCGTTATAGCATCTTCCACAATTATAAATAAGTTTCCACATCTATAAGAAAGTTTAATTATGAAAATAATTTTTCGTTTCCCGTAAAACGAGGTCGTCTTTTTAAAAATATAGTCGTTATACCAAAGAAAAATACGAGTAAAGGTTTGATGCTTGAATTTTTCTTAAGTATAGAAGTATTTTTCCACTAGTAAAACTGATAGTATGATAGTAGACAGAATAGCATGATGAACAACGATCAACTAAAAATAATTGTTGGAAATTAACGTGCGAATACTTAGTTGTTAATAAGACCACATTGCAGTCGCAAACTTATGAAAATAAATTTACTAGGCCACAAAATGGCAAGCACCTCTGCTTGTGTTTGCAATTTGGACGATCTTCAAAACATTTTATTGGGCTGGCAAGCAGAAAGAGACCTCAACTCCTAATACTCTCTTGCTGAGGGTAAACGTTCGCGGCTACCTTTCCGTCAACAATTGCATTCCGCCAGCTTTGCCTCGGGTGGATCGAGGCCCCAAAGTTCTTCACGAATGAAAGCACAGGAGGAACCGAATAAATTGTCCCCAGCTCGTTCCCTATTGGGCTACAAAACCACTGTGTTGCCACACTAGAACTAGATAGCCAATGAACCATGTTTGATTTCAGGCCCTACCTCCACCCGATGGCTTTCTTGCACGACCAGTTCGGTTTTGAATCCAAAACCAACCCCAACAACCCAGTCTTCCCGCTCAATGATAGGCGGATTTCGCCGAGTTTCAGAAAAATTAGGCAAGGAATCTTATATCTCCTACTGAAAATAACTAAATCCGTCTTCTGATATTTAATAGTTAGCCCACAACCGGCCGCCCAGTTCGAAACGAGGTTAAGGGCGCTCTGCACCAGCCCATTCAGATACGGCCACCACAAAATAATCTGCGTAGGCGACAACCTTATAGCCCTCCCCCTCATAGTGCACCAGTAACCGACTGATTCCCAGGTTCCATTGAAGCGAGGAAAGCACACCCGCTGGCAGGTTACAAAGCTTAATGCATGACCAGCCTTCTGACAGCATGTTTCCTATCAAGGCAGTCAGGGAGCTATGAATTGTGAACTGCCACAGAGCCCGAGTGATCGGCTGCGACTCGACAATATTGAAAGCGCCTTCCATATCAAGGAAGGCAGCCAGTGTGTATTACTTGCATTTAAGGGACCTTTTAGGGGACGTTCGATACGCATGTTCCGCTACCCTTCCGGTACGCATGTTATGCTGGAGAAACCCATCCCGGGTTAAGGTTGCTCCTTATGTATGCGTCTGCCAATTTTTCCAATATTTTTAGTAGAAACGATGTTAAACTAATTATTCACAAACCTTTAGGGCAGCTGTAAGAGCTTCTCCCAGTCATAGGAATGAAGACGACCTAGCAACATTCCATGATTTTGGAATATGGGTTAGGTCTATACACCATCCGTAGAAAATCTTCGGCCAGGGCAGGATGACCTCGGCCCTATATCACCGCACTCGCCGACTTGAAAGGCTGAAAGCTGCGGATGGCCCAAAGAATTCCTCTTTGGTTGCCCACTTCTCAGCAGACGCTTGCATTTGCTGTGAATATCCTCGTATTTATCTTCGTAGATATCTTCATATCTTTGCTCTGCTGAATTGACTTCTGTCCTTCAAATATTTTGGCGGAGCAGCACCTGGTCGAAGGGCAGGTATACTAACGTCCACCGAGATATGATGCCACCTGCTGCAAGACTTCATTGCTGTAAAGAGGTAATAGAAAGTCATTTAAGACACTTTTAATAAGTATGCATTACCCAACTTTTCCGCTGCTGTCGCTATAAAACGGCTTGTATTCTCAGCGGAAAAGGGGCGCAAGCAGATCTGCTTTAGAGTGGTGGAAATTGATCTGAGTTGCATGAAGCATTACTGCTTTCATTAGCCTCCACCAGTATTTTTTCTGCACCCCCTGTAGATCCAGGTGTTTCACATCATCGTCCGTCAGTCCCGCTTCAACCACAATTTTTACTTCTGATGAGAACGGGGACTGACCAGACGACTTTTCCGGAGCCCTAGTAACGATGTCGATGACGAATGGACCACTTTCCGGATGCTCCCGTCGGTTACACTATTTCTAGGATCCCTCCAGCTTCGTGTCACTTTTATACACTTTTAGGGTTATAGGGAAGACCAGTAATTAAAAACGAATCCCTGCCTGTTCAGAGAACCTTGGTCTCTGCACGGGGGATATGGGACTGGATCTTCCTTCATGATTTCAAAAAAGCCCGCCATCAATCCGCTTTCAACTTTACTCCACTTCTCCACTGAGATCCTGCCATCTTCTTGCGCCTGATCTACAACAGCGACAAATAAAATTGTCCTTCAGGATCTCACTGAAAGGGGCAACCGTAGTGGGTGCGCTCAAGCGTCTGCTCGGTAGCGCTGTCGTTTTGTTTCCACCTCCTTCTCTTGGCTCAGTTGCAGAGGACCTTCGTTCACACCTGTCTTTTTCTGAAATCCAACCGATTCTTTCCAGGTTACTGAATGCAGACCGCCGTTCCTTGTAGGCCCTTTACGTGGACGTTATCGTTACTGACGGCGTTCTTTTCTTACTGTGGCTAGTCTGTGCTACTGTAGCTATCGAGCAACAACGGATACCAGGCCTGACTGAATCACTGCTTTGTGTTCGGTAGCTGTGCTTTTCGTATTCTTGGTGATCACCTGCGGTTTTTGTACTGAATTCGCCATCAGCGATGTTTCAACACCGTTTCCCGAGACCGGCCCAAAGGGGACTCGGCAGTGATAGCATACAGTATAGGGATAAGTGCGGGGGAAGGGATTTTTATTATCTTTTGGTTTGAGATAATCCCGTAGAAGAATGAATTAATTAAAAAACAAATTAAATAAAATAAAAAAAAAAAAAATAACACAAATACTACAAAAAAGTTTCCCCTTTTTATGTTATCCTTGGTTTATACCGAAGGCGAAAATAAAATTTATAAAAAAGAACATTTTCAGCACAAGAGAGTAAAAGTTTTCAATATAATAAATGCCACAGACTCTAACATGCACAAAGATTTTGTTGAAGAGCGGCTAGATAAGTCAGATGACATGCTGCTAAGAATTTACGAAATTTCAATGAGTTTAACTACTATGAAAGGCAAATATCCTAATGTATATCAAGCAACCCCGAAGCTACTTTTAAAAGAATTTCAGGAAATAAATTACAAAAAGCTATAAGAAATACCAATGGCGTTAAAGTAAGAAGCACGAATTAGAGGTTTTTCTTAAAAATAAGAATATCGTAGTATGTTTATTGTCGGCAACAAACTTATGGAATGATTTGAATATTTTATGTTATAAATAGTTCAGCTCATCCTGGTTATCTTTCAAGAAGAGATATAGCTATTTACTTGAGGTCACCATAACGAATCTAAAATATTGACGCAGGAAGTATAATTTATTATGGTTAAATTCAACAAAATTTGTAATATAAAGTAAAATATTTTTAAACATCTCCTGTAGACAGCTGGAAACGAATTCTTACCGACTATTATACAAACCATTTGAAGTGGAATTCTACAATGACCGCAAACAGCAGTAAAGGACTAAGGAATTGGAATGCTCACTGATAATCTGACTTATTAGTCTACAGATACTAACAAAATCTCATATCTTATTGCTTTTTAAATCCAAGGGAATTCCATTAAATTTTGTGAATTTGGAAAATTTTTTCCCAAATTTAAAAGAGGTTGATGATTTAATTTCAATTTAAATTCAGATCATGTTGCTGTCATATTGAACAGTGAAGAGGTACCTGAAAAACATTATAAAACAATTTTATTTAACAGAACCACACATTGGATAAGCTCGTCCAAATTAATTTGATCCTGTCAATGTTTTAAAATCAATATGTTTCTTCTGATTTTGAAATTTAGGTGCTTGAACATTGTCTAGCAGCCGCGTTGGACAGCTCACAAATAGTAGTAACACGACTTCACCAATGATGCGCTTGCAGCATTAATTTATGAAAGACTTCATATTATTTTAAATAAACTGAAAGAATTAAAATATA